CATCTCCATGATGAAATTATGAATTATTATCTATCTTAGCAAATTTGTGGTATAATTAATCCTTATGAATTGGCTTAAAATAAATATATAATATTATTAAGTCAGAATCTAAAGGTATTTCGATAGTCTAAAACCCAAATTAAGTACTTATACAAATAAAATTACCAATTTATGATGAATTTAAATTGATATCATACATTTAAATTGTATCATTCCAAACATAAAGATGATTATTGTATATTCTTATCCAAGAAGTATTTACATAAGTATTCTATGATAAATTCATGATTTAAGTTGTTTATATCGTGTTATTTTATGTTAATTTTTTAAAATTTAAACTTATAATCTAATACTATTTTTGAATATCTTGGCATAAAGCATAAATACTTTCATTATAAATATTTGAGGCAACACATAAATTTTAGGGAGAACTAAATTGATAAGTAATAGAGTTATTAGAATAATTTAATATACTTTGATTATTCATTAGTAAAAATGATGTTGAACTAGAATTAGTATATTAAATAATTTAAGTGTACATATCAATGTAATTCTAATTTTTTGAATATTCTATGTAGTTGGTAACTTTGGAATCAGTATCTGATTTATCAAGATTAAATTATAATGCTTAACCTGTTAATGATATATTCTCTCTGCTGAGTACAACATAAGATTGAGATTGATTTACATTAGCGCTAGTATTTTTTAAACCTATATTTAAAAAATCATTTATGATTGTTACTGAGTTATTTCCTTATTAAATAGTATTTGAATTATTAAGATACGATGAAAATGAAAAGTTAAAAATTTATTATGTAAAGAAATTATCATGTATGTTTTTATTCTGAAAAGCATATATTAAAATAGGTGAAAGCAAATAGAAACTTTAATTAAAACAAAGAAATGCCAAACTGTCTATAGTTATGCTAGTGAAGTAATTACCATCAAACTTAAATCTATAATAAAGGCTTGAACGTCCATGTAAATAAGGATTATAGACATTTATAGTTGAACTATCTAATACATAAAAAAATTAATTGTCAGAGTATAAGGAAATAGACTTTTAATCTAATGCAAAATTTATGGGTGACATTTAACTGAGGTAAAATGGATTTGATAAATTTTTTACATTCCAAACCTCAAAATATAAAACTTCTTGATGTTAAGGAATCCAAGACAAGATTAAGAGATTATTTACAACTTGTAGATTTTCTATTTGAAAAGTAACATCCTAAATTAATATTAACTCAAATATGAAATCCTCTGTTATATAACCTATTATAAAACTATTATTATTATTTATATATAAGACTCTAGATTAGTATTAAGAGTTAATAAAAATATTTATTAAATTTAAGTCAACCTTTTAACCATTTTTCTCTTCTAAAATTTTTTAATCAATCAAAATTTATCCTCTCAAATCGAAATCTATTATTTATATTTAATTTGTTTCTAGTAAAAGCACTACTGAATCAGATAACAATTAAAACTATTTAAATAGTTCTGTATTTGTAGTTCTATTACAAATGTTTTATAATTGACTATTAAATAAGTAAATTTAAATAATATTTTAACCAAAACTTAGACAAACTATAAAAATCATTGATTGATTGCTAATTGAAAAAGTGATTTCAATTTAAGTTACAATAATGTCCTTATATAGATTTTAAAATGAGCTTGATTTATTTCCATCTAAATAAATATCTATATTTTCTCTGCTAACAGCAACTAGAAAAATATCATTTAATTTTTTATAATTGCATTCTAAGAACATGTTTAAAGTAAAAGCTTTTGTTATATAATAATTTTAATCTTATTCCAATGATTAATTCAATTTGTATGAAGTATTATCATAAAAAGTACCTAATTCTTTATTACTAACTTAAGGATTCACTTTGATAAGTGGTCCTGAAACATAATTAACCCAATACTCAAAAGGATACTATAATAAATTATAGTATGATTATTATGGCTCTTCGAATATGAAAGATACATTATTATTTGATAAGGAAACTAAAACATACTTTATCTAAACTTAGCAATAATTTATTTGTAAATGATAATCCATTCCTAAAGCAAGAATAGAAAAATTGCCTTCACGATTCTTTTATACAAAATTTAAAACAGGAATCTATAATTCATGAATTCTTGTTTTTTTCTCAAAAATATATAAAATTTCTTTTTATTCATCAAAATATAAAAGAGTGTTATTACCATATACATATTCTTTTCTCAATAGAATTTAATTAAAAATTTAATTTTAATAAATACTAATTGTATGTTAACCAAATATAATAATGAAACTTTAACTCATAAATATTTATGATGTTCTACTTACTATATTTCTTTATTATTTAGACTCCAAATTGTCTAAATAAGTTGAGTCACTGTAATAAACAACTACATAATACATATAATCAAAATCATCATCTAAGACTATTAAAAAAAGTCTATCAAATTAATAATATTCAAATGGAGAGTAATAATAAGCCATATTGATGATTTCATGATATAATAATATGCTTTCGACTTCTAACAGTGTTCCATTTTCTTACAATACAAATGAAGTTATATTACTGTAATGCTATATAAATATTGTTTAATTTAAGGATTCCCTTTATGAAACAAAAAAATTATATGCTTAATCTTATAAATTATCCTTAACAATTAATTATTACCTTTTATTTTAGGTTAAAATTGTCAAATTCAATATGTTTTAAAATTAATTAGATGTATTAAAATAATTAAAAGATTATCCATAAATAATATAAGTCGTTTTATTTTTTTAAATAGAACTGATTTTAGTTTAACTAGGAATAGAACTGTTAGTACTGTACATCTCTCTTAAATTGGAGCCTCTTAAATAGTATAGTATTAATTTTTGATCTTAGTAACAATCTATAATAATATTATAAGCTTCTATATATGAAACACTAAAGCATTCCAAGCTTTAATCAATAGGAATTATTTTAGGATTAGAATCCATTTCTCCATTTATATTCTAATATATGTTTAAACTATTTTCTGTAGTTAAAGCATAAATTTTGTCTTCAGAGAACGTAACAGATTTAAATGTATAATCTAGCTTAATGTAAATAATTACCAACTTTTATTATTTAATTACTTTTGAATATATTCGAAACATTGGCACCTTATTATGAACAATTTTAACATATATATGTAAGGTTACTTCCTTAAATTAGGTTATTCATTTTCATTTATATTATTTCACCTTCTGTAGGATAGAGAGTATATACTTGGTTTGGCACTGTGCAAGTCTTCACAACAACTATAAAAATAAATATAATCATATATAATAATAATAAAATAAAAACTTCTTGAAATATTTCGAGATATGTATTTATACTTTTGTACTTTTTTTCAGATTTCTTTTTTATACTATAGAGTTTAACAATTAGTTAAGAATTTAAAATTTTTGTTAAAATGATTAGTTTTTAAATTATCTTAGGTTTGTTTCAAAGGGAGAATTTATTATATTTTTTTTTAAAATAACAGAAAATGTCATTAAAATACTTCCTTTATAAATTTATAAAACAATTTTAAATGTGATTTTTGACTTTTTGAAATTATTCTGAAATCATAATTAATTGTCTATCTCTTTTACTTATTATAAAAAATTTCTATTTTGGATTTCTTCATTATAAATGAATTAAAAATGATAAATATTCTAAAATTTTTAATTACTTTTACCAATAATTCTATTTATTTCATTTTTCTAAAACTCTTTTAAAAGGAAAGTATCATGTATTTAATTTTTTATATAATAAAATTCCACTCTCTGATAAATCAATAGATCAAGATGCCTTGGTTATTTATCTGATTAAATACTACAACTTCAATATATTTTAATTCTTATTAAAGACTGTTGGTTCTATTATCAAATTTTTACAATATTGAATAGATTCTACATTTATTTATTTTCACTTAATTTAATATTTATAATATAAATATTATATATATTTATCTAATTAATTTTTATTGACCCTCAGTTATTGACCTTACTACTATAAATTAATCAGTCGAGCAAAAAAGTCGATTTAGTTTATTTTTTTTTTCATCTTAATAAATAGATTGATATTCTTAAATTATTATTCAATAATAACCAAATATACCAATTTCTATATAGATAAATATTCTTATTATTTTCATGAAGAAGTTGATGTTAAAATAAAAAACAATTAGTAGCAATATCATTATTCTTGAAATATTGCTATTTTATGATTTTCATAGGAAAAAATGGAAAGGAGATGAGAATGCTATTTATAATCATAATTTATTTGTATACTAAAATTAAATATAATAATTTAGATAATCATTTGTTAATAAGAATATATAATTATTTGATAATAAAATTATTTTTAATCTTTATATTTGAAAAATAAAAGTACTTTAAGAAAATTTAAATACTAAATTCTTTCTCCCTGAATTAAATAATGAAGCTTGACAATTAGTTATAACCATGATATCACAAATTAAATTGTTACTCTTCAATCATCATTGGAAACAAAAAAATTAGCAATAATCTAAAAGGACAAGTAATAAGTAAATATGGAGAATTCCGAAGTTTAAAAGAAATCTTCTTTTTTTTAATTTTTTAGACCAAGATTTAAAGATATCTAGTTCAGATTTTGAAGTAAAAAATATCGAACTAAATTTTTTTATTATTTTTTTAACAGATACTAGGATAGAGGAATAAGGAGCAGAAAAAGGGACTGTTGCCAAAAACCTAAGTTATGGTACCTTAGAAAAAGCCCATCCAATTAGATTTGCTCTTCAAAATTCTATCGACAGTTGTATAAAAAAGGAAGGAAGATAGAAAGTAATAGGAACTTGAAATTACAAACTTTATTTGTGATCAATCAGTTCATATTGTTATTATTAGTATTTTATAGTAAATAATTAGAGCGTTGAAATAGTTAGTAAAAAAAATTTTTTTAATTGATTAATAAATTCCGTTTTTAATTTATTAATTCTGATAGCATTATGAATCCAAAGAAAACAATAAACAAACATAAAAAGGAAAGTTAAATTCTTTAAAGTTCTTTTTAATATTAACTTTTAAAAGATAGAAGTAAAGATTACCAAAGAGACAGTGAAACAATAATAATTAATCAACAAAATAATATTCTGATAATACCAGCAAATTATGGAATCATATTATATTTGTTTAAATAAGGTTAACATCTTAAATAAATTCAAACAATAAAGATTTGCCATAAATTAATAACAAATATTTAATTTTTTTAAAAAGGTTCTCATTTTATCATTTGCTCTGATGCTGTGATTACATTATGATCTACAAATCTCATCTCTAACCCTAAATATACAAATAAACTCGTAGAACATACCTAAGTGATACTTTGTTTAGTAATTTAATAATAAGAAGAAAACTTATTTATAACTGGAGCAGTAGATTTAAAATAAAGTTTTGGACCAAGCAAAAATCATGGTTTTGTAAATAAACAATTAATGAACATTCTAAGCCAGTTTAGGGATTATGTATAAATTAAGATGGGAATAGATTGATATCTTCTGGTGAAGATAAAATTATTTTATTTATGAAGAGGTCTTATTCAAATATTTGGGAGATTATATAAAAGATATCTGAGAAAATATATGGTTTAAGAATGAACTTTATTACTTACGAAATCTTTTCATTTTCACCTGCAATTTACTACATTATTTCTTTTTACTCTTATGATCAAACTACAAAATAGTTTCCAAAACTAAAGAACTTAAGTTTAACAACAAAAAATACTTGAAATTCCCTAATTTTTCATAAGTTTATAATCCTTCAAAATAAATCCTCGTAAGTAAATTAGGATCTTAAGTTTATTTAATTAAATTTACATTTCAATCAAACATTAAATTGGAATGTAAATCATTGCAAGTTATTTAATTCAGATATTCTGATGCATTAATTTATTAATTTATGAAACTATGAGAATACTTAATTATATGGGATGCTACATCATCACAAATTTAAATTAGAAAGTACGAATCAATATGATTTTACATTAAATATAAACATCAAAAATAAGTATAAATATTATTATTTTAAATTATGATTTGAATTCATTCCTACAGGTTTTATTTATTTATAAATTTTAGATTCTATATCTAAATTCTAATAATGAAATAATATAAATTTTTATGTTAAACACAAAATCATATGGAATTGATTTAAATATAATTAAAGAAAAATTAAAACTCAAATTGTTCTTTAATCAAAAAAATTTTTCTAGTTTATAATAGTTTTTATTAATCAAATGTTCAATAATTTAATAATAAAAACCTTCATATTTAAAATTGGTTAAAAAGTTAGACTAATATAAATTAAATTTAATTGGACATAAATTCATCTTATATGTGAATTGTTTTGTTTAAAATTTATTATTACATTAGATTTATCTTAAAATTTGTCTTTGTTAAGATAAAGACTATAGCTAATGATAATATTAAGACAATTTAATTTTAATTATATTTTAAAATACACATAAGAATATTTAAATTATTTAAAAAATCTATAAAGTAAGGTGCTACTATTCTTGATAGTTTTATACCCTTACAAAATTTATGATTTTTATATACGATAAAATTAATGCTTTTGATTATGTCATCAATTTGAGTTGCTAATCCCAATCAAACTGGGTTTTGAAGGATAACAATTATTCTAAGAATTTCTTCAACAATTCTTGGATACATTCAAAATATTTGATAATAATGTTAAAAATTAAGAAAACAATACTTGTATTGAAAGTTCAAACTTCTTTTGAGAGGAAAGTTAATTAAAGTATGGATAAAATGATTTTAAAGAAAAGCTTTTAATCTTAAGTAATAATTGATATTTTATTTGAAGATTATAATTGTGAAACTGATAAAATGAAATTATTTCACATTAAATTACGCTGATAACTCAAATGTGGAATATAAATGTAACCTTGTGATAACTTGATGATTTATGGCATATCTTGATATTATTGTAAATTATTCCCTAAGTATACTTCAGCAATTTTCTTTTACAAAAATCTCACATATCTAAAGGTATTGAAAATTAAGAAGATTTACAATTTCTCTTAGATATTTATTTGTTTATGCATAATGGTGTTGTTAACCTATTTGTATAACTTGTAATAGCCCTTCGAGTTGTCTAATCTGTGCTTATGGCAGTACCTAAGAATATGGTTATTGAATCAATTTATAAATTGCTTTTATATTTTTTTGTTTATTATATGATTGAAGATACTAGAAGTTCAGTTGTTAGAAATAAATATTTTTACATTTTGAAATATCTATTTACATCGCTTACTATATTATTTGTGCACTCAGGAAATTATCAAATATAAATTCTATTTTGCAGAGAATACAACGAAGGTGATTTATGTATTATTATAAATTTTAAATATGTGGCGATAGAAGATAGTAAAGTATGTTATGAATCAAGAATTTTAAGGGTTATCATTTCTCAAGATTAATTATTTATCTTATGAAATATGGGATGAAGAAAATTCTTTTAAGTATGATGGATGTCATTAATGGTAATTTTAAGTTTAAGAAAGTTGTACTATATATTTATTAGGAATTTGTTATTGTTGTAACTAATTTGGTTAATGAAGTCAAAATTGTAAATATAAACCATTTTATGAAGATGAAATTATTATAGATTACAAATAATGCGATCGTGTGTAGTTTAAAAGTGCAATTTATATTGTAATTCTTAATCATTTTAGCATTATTATACTAAGTATCGTACTAATTATTTAAACTATGCAAATTTATAAGATATTCAATAAGAAGAATTTTATTAATTTATTTTCTATTTTGAAAAACTTAAAAAGTTTCTTTTTTTTTATGATCACTGCTTCTATAGTTTGTTAATTTTATAAGACTGCATATTTCTTTTATATAAATCCTAATCCTACTTATTTTAGTAAAAGAACTTAATATTAACTAACATATGTTATTCAATTAGATAACAGTTTGTTAGACTTAAATTATTATTCATGGATTGAATCCTGAGATTTGTCTTATCTAATGTGATGACTGTACTGATTATTTCTATCTCAAACAATAGTTTAAGAGAATCAATAAATTTAAATTTTCCATTTTAGTTTCACTTCATATAAGTAAGTACTTAATATTCTGCAAAAAGTTTTCAATTTCAAATATATTAAAATTAAAAGAAAAATATCAAGCTAGATTTGAAGGCATTAAAAATACTATGAATGTTTGGATAACATAATATTTAAGCTTTAAAATGCAATTTTATTAATTAAAAAAGTTAGTTTTTATTTGTTTAATTTTTTTTCTATAAAGATTATTTAATTATATAAGTAAACAAACTTAATTAAACATTGTTTCTATTCTATTTTATAGGAAATAAACCTTATAATTATCGTGAATACTTTATAATTCGAGATTCTATTATTATTTTTAAAACAATATTGTATGATTAATTATTTTTTGTAAGCTGAAAAATTTAAGTGGAATTATATTATTAATAGTAATTTCTCAGAAAAATTGATTAAAATACAAAAATAATAGATACCAAAGTTTTTTATAATTAATAAAATAAAAGGAAGATGAATATTTTTGATAATAAAAGGTATTGAAGACGAGCAACTTTATAAAAATAAAATTAAATGAAAGGTTAATTATGAATCAATTTTGAGAATCGACTTGGACAGTTTCTGTACAAAAATAGTTAAATATATTTTATTGAATGATTTAAAAAAATTAGGATCCTAAGTCTAGTTTTTAAATATAAGAAATGAAAAAATCCTTGATTATTATTTAAAAATGATATTTTAAATCTAATTGTTGGTTCTTGTATTGTAAGTAAATGGACTTGAGATGAAGGAAATGAGTTCCTTATATTAATTTTCATCTGAGAAAGTTGATTTAAGTAAAATGATAGAGAATGAGGAATAACTATCATATGGATATGGAATATGGACAAGGTATAATCCATTAAGCACAATATCTTAAGTAGGTGTGGTAAATTTATTTGATAGTGATTGTTATAATATTCATAATGTAGTTGATTAAGAAACTTAGAGTTTGAACTTAATTTATTATGATTGTCTAGATTACCCACTTTAGAAAATTAAGAAGATAATATAATTTATAGATAATGAAGGAAAAGAATAGAGATTTGAATTGAGTTTAGATGGTTTTGAGTATGAAAATGTTTGGTTTTACTTGGAATTATTATAATGGCCAAGATTGAAAAGATTTTAGTTAATGATAATATAATAAGATAAAGCAAAGTTGAAAAGTAGTTTAGAAATTCAACATCCTTTCAATGATCTTAGAGTTATATTAAATTTTGGTGGAGGATTGACAGTACAGAAATCTTTGATCTCATCAATAAAAATAGGATAATTATTTTCATATTTTCCTGGTAAGATGATCTAATCTAAATTCGCTTTTAAAATATAATCCCCTGATTTAGATTTTGAAGCAATAGCTATTGATGCAATCTAACCATATACAAATTGTTTATGTATCAATAGTTAAATTTTTTCAATTTCTGATTTTGATTTAAAAGTTATGGATTAGAAAGCTTTTTTACCAGAATAAGTCAATTGCGATAGCTTCACTTTATCGGGATGGTTTAAGATTACAGAAGTTATTTAAGAATCAGTTGGATTTATTTATTAATTTTTAAAATTGGCATCTAATTATGAAGGTTAGTTATCCGATCCAAATTTATCTCCATTTTAATTATTGTATAAAATATCTCCTAATGGCAATCAAATAATTACAACTACATACAGTTATAATTTTCCATTAGTAACTATTAATTTTGAAGAGAACCCATTTCTTATAACAAATAGTTTCGATATTGAAAATTTATTGAATTTTTGGCATTTTGTTAATGTCTAATTGATAGGAAGAAACTTTTAGATTTTGATAAAATCTTATAAAGAAGATAAATTTATTGAATTTTAAGTTCATAATGAAGTGATGCAATTTAATAACTTATAATTAAAGTTGAATATTGGTAATATTGAATAAAATTAATTGGATTATTTAAATGTTTAATCCAGAAATTTAGTTTTATATAATTGTCCATAAACTATTAATTAAAATTATTGCCATTATAGTTGTGAGATATGTGATGGACCAACAAAATTTGACTGTTTATCTTGTTCGATTGAGTCACAAAGAATTTATCTTTCTTAATTCAAAGTTTGCATATGTCCATATCATACTGTGGATGAGAAAATCTGTAAATAATACCAGGATTATTAATTAAGCATTATAGATGGAGATGATTAGAATAATAAAAGATGTTAATATGGTTATTATGAGTATTCAGGTGACTGTTTAAAATGGTAATTATGTAAATTAATTTATTATTAGCCCCTCTATAATAAAAGATAATATACTATATTGTATAGAATGTTTATAAAATCCAAAAACTTGGAGTACAAAACCAAACTGTTTATTTGATCTAGTTTTAAATGCCAATGGAGACACATAATAAAAGATATATTAATATTCACTTAATTTTCTATTTGATGGAGAGAATCTTAATTATTGTGAGTTTTTTTGTAATGAATCATAATCTTTTGTAGCTGATGAACATAATATTGAATTAGAAATTGAAAATTATATAATTTAATAACAAGACTGTGGAGATCGTGAATCTCTATGTTCATTTTGTGTTTTATCTGTAAGTAATAGAGCTTGTATCAGATGCCATTAAGGCTATACATTGATAGATTAAAAGTGTATCAGAAATATTGAAGATTAAATTACATGTGGATATCAAAAATATTTGACATCAAGAAGATAATGTTAAACGTGTCATTTAAAAAATTGTAAATATTGTTTTGAATATCAAAATGATTTAAGAAAGTGCACATTATATAAAGAATTTGAGAATTTTTATTACGATGAGGAAATAAAAATTGGTTGTGCAATGTGTGAGAAAAACTATATATTTGATTTTACTTAAGAAAAATGCATATTAAAATAGCCTTCAAATTAAAATTGTTTGAGAGCATATCTTGATTTTAATGGTAATGAAATTTGTACTTTTGCTGCTCTTGATGATTTCAATATTGCTCCTGAAATTGTTAATTGTGAAAAATATTAACCTTAATGTCTTTCATGTATAAGGTCTCCTTAATTTTTAATTAAATGCATCGTATGTAAAATAGGATATACAGCATCAATTATAAATGGAGGTTGCTATTTGACAAAAAAGTAAAATATTAATTCATTAATTACTATTGAAGGAGATTATTCATTATAAGATGCATGGATTCAAAGAATATAAGCTTTTACAATGAAATTCTTACCTAACTCTTATTTTTATCCTCATACCTTTCTATCAGATCTTACAGAAGAATTTAGTATGGAATGTATTGATGGATATTAACTTAATTCAATTAGTTAATGTTCGAAATCATGTTCATCTGAATGTCTTTCATGTGTAGAAGATAAATTTTAGGAAAGTTTTTGTAATAAGTGTCCTTTAAGTTAATATTATTAACCAATTAGAAACCAATATTAAGGAAAATGTTTAGAATGTCCTTAATTATGTTAAATTTGTGAAACACGATCAGACATAGATATTTATGTAATTATATTTATTTTATTATTTTACTAGAATTTATAACCCACTTTTATTATAAAAGATGATAATCTAGCATATACAACTCTATGTCTGAAACCTATTAATGATCCTAATGTTTATCTTGATCAAAATGATTTAATTGCTAAGAATTGTTTAAATAATATAAATTGTAATCCAACTATTTTATGGATCAATAATTTTGAAAATTGTGAAGCTGAATATGAAAAATGGGACTTATGGGAAACTAATATTAACATCAATTATTGCAACACAATGGGAATCGATAAAATTATTATTAGATTCAATTTTCTTAATAGTGATATTCCAACCTGTTTTTTGGAGAATATCCTTATTAAAAATACATTAAAATCGTAAATATTTTCCTTAAGAAAACTAACCTTTTAGTTTACCTCTGATATTGAATTGCAGTTAATAACTGATTATCACATTTTAATACACAATTTCGATGTATTTGATATTAAAAATGTTACCTTCATAAGCAGTAAATATACAAATATTATAATAAAAAATAATAATCAATCTGTTGATTTAAATTTATTCAACTTCTCTATTGCCCATAGCATTATATAAAATACATCAAGTATTTTTCAAACTGATATTTTTGGAAATATTTAAATCAAACATCTTGTAATTGTAAATTCAACATTTTTAAATTCCTCTTTCTTTAATTTTGAAAAATTCCCTATTACTGGAAACATACAAATCGATAATTTAATTATCCAAAATTGTACTATCAATTAATCATCGCTTTTTATTTTTAAACTGACCAAAGGAACAATTTATATTAATAATTTAGTATTTGAAGAATCAAACATTTATCATTCTAGAATTTTTATTTTCAATACAAAAATTTAAAATCAAACACATGTAAATTTTACCAATTTTAACATTAAAAATAATACATTTTATAATTCTTAGTTTTAAAATAGTAATTCATCTTTATATCAAAGTTTAATGAATATAAAATTATAAGAGAATATATTCTAGTACTCCAATATTTTTGATTTTTATCACAATATATCAATGTCCAAAATTATAATTGTAGGTAATTATTTTTAATACTCATCATTATTTTTCACTTAAGAAACTTAGTTCGAATTTAAATTATCGAATTCTTTAAACTTTTTTTAGGCTGAAAATAATAGATTTACAAGTTCAAACATTTGGAGAATCTAATCAAGTTTAGAAACAAGTAATTTAATTTTAAGTCTTTAAGATCTTTTCATTGAGGATGTCAATAGTATTAATCAAATAGATTATCTATTTAAATTTAAATGCTTTTAACTTTCACTAAACACAATTTAAATTAAAAACTTAACAAACATATTTATTTTCTACATCTATTAAAGTAATTATGTTAATATTTAAAATGTCTTATTGGAAGGAATCTAAAATTAATATAAAGTTCCATTATCATAAACTTGTTAATCAGTTCCATAGCTATAGATTAAGTTATTCAAAATCATGGGTTTTCGTTCACTTAAAATTATAAAGATTAGAATATAAGAAATATTTAATATTGATGAATCAATTATAGATATTAATTCTAACAATGAAGAATATAATACTGAAAGCAATTTTGTTTAAATGCATGATATTCAATTTTTAAGAAATCTTATGATTCTACAAAATTAAATAGAATTTACTTCACTTTTAAAAATAAACTCTGAAAAAAAATTAAATGTCAGTTTAAATGAAATTTAATATTTAGAAAATATATTCCACTCATTAACTGATAATTCATTTAAGAATTATGCGAGTTTGCTGTTTGTTAATTGTAAAACTTGTTCTGTAAAAATTGCAAATTATATTTCTAAGTTTAACTTATTCTCTAATTCATCTAGCTCATTTGTGTAAATTATTTCTAAATTTATAAGTTTTAACAATTATCATGTTGAGAATCATAATCTATTACCTTTAAATTTGTTAATAAAATACGTAGATCTATAATTAGATAATGATTATAATTAAGATGAAATAAATTAAATTATCCAATAAGCTTTATCTATTAAAAATATTGGTGGTGCGGCCTAATTAACAACATCTAACTTTAGATGCTTTGATTGTACCTTTTCGAGAATGAAGGCATCAAAAAGTTCTGTTTTTGAAATAATTACTGAGTAAGATGGTATAATTGAACTTGTTGAATTTAAAATATATTAAGCAGAACATGATCTATAGTAAATGACTAATAGTTCAGGATGTATAGCCATTTATTCTTAAAATAGCTTATTAAATCTTAAAATTGTAAACTCCTACTTTTCATAAATAATAAGCAGATTGGCTCCATCTATTTTAACAATTACACCCTCTATTACATAAAATTAAATAGTGATTACTAACATTACAATTATAAATTGTTTATCTTTACTTAATTCAATTTTGAAGGTTTAATTTTCAAATAAAATTATTCAATAAAATAACATACGAATTGCAAATGTCAAAATACTAATAAATGAAGAAAATTGGATAAATTATTTTTCAAAAATCGAAGCCTTAACCAATTCTGAAATTGAAGAAGTAACAAGTGAAACAAATGCAATGATATATTTTGAAAGTTGTTAAATTGACATAAAAGAACTCTAAATATCCGGTTTACTTCTATATCCAATATTAAAAGTATCAAATATTCCAAGTTTAAAGTTATAGAATTTTTGGATAGATTAAATTTATATGTTTTACTCATTTAATATTATTGATGTTCAATAAACAGTTCAAACTAAATTTATTGTAATTTTTTCATAATTTAGTATTACCAATACTAATCCTTATTTAGCTCTAGAAACATAACTTTTGATTTCTCAAATTTTATTCATTAACTAAAATTGTACTAAAATAACAATATCAACAGTTGAAAAATCACAAACGTTTATGAATGTGTAAAATAGCTTTAAAAGAAATGCTAAGAACTCCTCATCACTTATTAATCTGAAGAGCATTTAAGAAAAAAATAATTACAGATTTAACCTAATCTAAATAAAGAGAAATAATTGTACATTTTGTAGTAATGGTTTAATTTATTTTAATATTTATAAGATTGAAAAACTAAGTATTTATGATTTAAATTGCTTTTATAATATAATATCCGATTATGGATGTTTAAATTTTGTTCATGCAACTTAAATCTCTTAATCATATATAAAAGTAATTAATTCAAAAATTATTAATAACACTGGTAATAAAGGCGCAGCCATAACTTCTATTGAAGCACCTATAATTGTGAGTAATTGTATAATAATGAATAATATTGCCAATGAATAAGGTGGAGGTCTTTATTTTGATTTAAAAAATAAAAGCTTTGTAATTAAATCAACAATAATAATATAAAATAAGGCAAATATTGGAGGAGGGTTATATTTAGATGGAAATTAAACTATTAATGTTAATAACTTTATTTAGTCTTTATTAATATTAAATTAAGCAAAAATTTATGGAAACAATCTTATAGAAAGTCCATCTAATTTAGCTTTAATTATCAACCTAGTTGAAATGAGATCCTCAAAATTTATTTTGAATAATACTTAAACCAACATTCTTTAAATAAAACCTTATACTACGATAGAAGAAGAATAAAAAATAAAAAGTGATTATTTAAAAATACCAAGTAACTAAGTTATTAGAGATTATTAACTTTTTATTCCTAAAATTTCACGCACCCTCATTTTATTTCAAGATTTAAGTTTATATTTTAAAAATAGTAGAAATGAATTTCTTTTTAATTAAATGAATTCAACATGCATTGTTAGTTAATAGATTATAGAAAATGATAAAATATTAAATAATACTTAGCTAAGTGAAATAGCTTACAATTCAATATTGAATGGTTTTGATATGAATATTTTATAGTTTCATTTCAATCCAAATTCTTAGGATAAAAGTTATTTATAAATCATAATTTAATGTGAACCTATAGATCATTCAAAATAATTGTAATACATCATAAATGCAAGAAGTTATAAATGTTAATTAGGAGAATTTTAGGTTGATAATGGTTGTTAATTATGTTAATCAAATTAAGGATATTATTCTGTTACTTATAATGATACTAAATGCTCAATCTTTGATAAATAAAAGTTTTAGTCAATAACAGCAAATCAATTAAATTTAAATGAAGGATATTGGAGACCAAACTATTTTTCAGATTATACAACTTAATGCTTCAAGAATATGAAAAATTGTAAAGGTGGTTGGTATGTTGGTGATTAACTCTGCATAAAAGGACATTTAGGAGCATTATGTGAAGAATGTGATATTTATAATATCTAAGGTGATGGAAAATACTTTAAAAACTCAGAAAATTCAGAATGTTTGTCATGTTTCGGAATTTCTGATAGCATTGTACCTTTTGTATTAAATTCAGTTTGGTATTCATATTCAATTATTTAGGGCTGTATTATCAGTTATTGTAACTTTAAATAGTATAAATAAATCTAATGATCTATTTGTTTTATTAAGAATAAAAGAAAAATAGAGTTAAATCATTTTCAAGTTAACTTAAGGTATTCTCTATTTAATTAACTTTAGATTTTGAAAGCATCTTTATTAAAATGATGTTGAATTACTTTTGGATATTTTCTCTTATTTTTACTTTTAATATAAGTTTCTCTTTTTCTTTTAATTTTATAGATAAAGCTAGTAATACTTCCTACTCTATGGCTAATAATTTAGATTGTCATTTATCTGATATCACAGTCACATAACTAATATATTTAAAAGTATTTGTAATTTTAATTTTAATAATATGGCAATTTTTGATGATTCTTTTAATATTTTACATTTATTGCTAGTTATCTAAAAATCAATTTAAAATTAGAATTGTTTCCAACATTTTACTTTGTCTTTACATATTAAATTATTAAGGATTAATTAAATTGTAATAAAAATAAATAATCATTATTTTAGATTAGCTTCAATAATTTCCCTTAGAGAAATATCTAATTATTAGTATATTCAAGGTGATGTTTCGTTAATTTATGATACAGAAAGCCATTTTTAATGGATTTTGTTTTTCATGGTGCCTTTCTTAGTGGTTTTTGGTGGATTTATTCCTTTATTATTATTCTTATTAATAGTATTAAATAAAGATAAAATTTATAAAGGAATTGGACAACTTAGAGTTCATTTATGTTATTTATTTAATGAATATGAAAAAGAACGCTATTATTGGGAAGAAATTAAATTGTTTAAAAAAGCAGTTATGATATTAATTTTAACCTATTTTGAAACAAACATTTTTATTAAAGCATCACTTCTAGGACTTTGTTTATTATTTTATTAATTGCTATTAGTTAAAAATAGACCTTATATTATATCAAAATTAAATCATTTGGATTTATAAAGTGGATAAATTTGTTCAATCTCTATATTTTTAGCAACAACTAAATATTTTAGTGAATAATAAAATAATTATTTTATCTCTTTAATTCTTTAGATTATTTTAACTTTCTTTTTTATAATACTCTCTTATCCATTTATTATTTCTATCCTAAGAATTTACTATAAAAAATACAAAGTACTCTTTTTAACTTTTCTTGAATTACTAATGAAAAAAATTAAACTTAAATCTTTATAGAAAGATGTTTCTGAATAGTTAAGATAAGAAGAAAATAAATAAATAAAATTAAAATTAAATTTATAAAAATTAAGAAAATATTTGATTATCATTTCCAAAGCATAAATTTAAAATAGATCGTATCATTTTATTATTTTCTTTTAGATATGTAATGTCAAAAAAAATCAAAAAAAATACTCAATAGAATGTTCTAAGCTCTGAAAATGCAGAATAATCTATGAATCTTATAAGTTTAGAAAGAATATCCTTATGATAAAATCTGCAATTGAAAGAATTTTAGTTTATCCAAAAAATATATTTTATTATATTCAATTTTTCAATATAACTAATTAAAAAGGATTCCTTAATTGTATAAATGAAGGAGGAAAAATTTATTCTGGTTTTCAAACCCCTTCATCAACTTGAATTTAAGGAATTCTCTTAAAGCGAGAGTGCCTAATTTGGTCAATTTTTTATATTAAAAAAATTAGAACCTTATTTTTAAATAACTCTTTAAACTATATATATGAAATTTGATATAATCTATTTTTCTTGTTTACTATCAAATTTGATGGTTCCATTTAAATAACGAATGTTGCATTAAAAAATTGAATTTAGGACTTCTTTCTGTATGCCTAATAAATTCAAATATTTAGTTCTATTAATATTATTCGATTACCTCTAACATTCAATAAATTTAAATATTCAGGAGCTATTATTGATTATTTATTTACGAAATTTTAGACATTCAGCTGTTGATTAAATTTGAAAATTACCTTTTCTGTATAAAGAATCAGAGTTTTAAGGATCAATAGACAATGCTATTTTCACAGATTTTAGTGCTTCCTCATGTTTTCCTAATAAACTTTTAATTTAAATTAAAATAAATTTAAATTTAAACATTCAGCTATGTCTATTTGATATTTATGCATTTTCTATATAAAGAATAAATATGATTTAGATCTATGCTTAATGCTTTATCTATCCATTTAATTGCATCTTTTTAATCACCAAGAAAACTTATATTGTATTTTAAACAATTGATTATAAGCAAGTGACTAAATAGATTTATAATTACATCGAGACTATTTAAGCGTTTCATCTAAAATTTCTATTGCTTATTAAAATTCCTCCCTATTAAATAAGCAAATGCTTTAACTAAAATACTTTAATAATTAATAATATGGATTTGATCACCATTATATTCTTGAACTTGTAAATTTGATAATTGATTTATTTTATTCAATCATTTTATTAAATCTTGATTGAATATTCTAACTAATTAATTAATTAGTCAAGTTTCTAAATAATTTTGTCTTGGCATTCTTTTGATTTTTCCTCAAATAATTCAATTATTTTTTCTAATCTCTATTCTATGTCATTATTCTGAATAGTTAGATTCATTGCAATTATAGCAAAATCTTTCAATAAAGCCTCAAATGGTTTTTATCTGCAAACGATATTCATCATTTTGGGGCTGATAGATAAAAACTTTCATTATTTTATTTTAATTTATTTGTATTGTAAATATCTGACTTGTGTATTTATTATATTATTAATAATTTTTTTATTAGTAAAGATAAGGTGCTTTTTTATTTTCTAGATGAGAATATTTTTTACATATAATTAATAAGAAATTATACAAATTTTCAGATGTTTTGATTTATTAATAAATGTATTTTAATATCTAAAATAATAATCAAGATCTTAATTTTTGTAAACCCTGTTGGGTCAATTTATTAATTTTTTTCATAGCTACTTAATTTCCTCCTAATTTAATATACTGATCTCAACAAGTTATATATAAATTAAACTATATTATTTATAAATAATGAAGTTTTTATTTATTTTCTAATTTTATTACTTTTTGAGTAATTATTTAAATCTATGATTGATAATTTATTCTTATATTTTATTTGAAATTTTTAATTTTCTTCATAAATTGTTAAATTTATAATTTTATAAAATATTTATGAATACGATATTTCTAACTATAAAAAAATTTTGTAAGATAAAAAGAAATAATTTAAATAATCTTAAATTTATTAACAATTATTAAATATTCAAAAAAAATTAGGAAATAATTTTAAAACTTTAAAATTTATCAACTTATTTAATAGATATTGATAAATCTGAAAATAATAAAAATCAATTTATTTCAAATTTAAAATACAAAATTAGTAAAGAAATAATAATATAATATTCATAAAGTATTAATAAATATTTTTTTAAATTAAAAAAGGTTAGAAAAGGAAATAATAAACTTATTATTATTGCACTTTCCATGATTCAATTTTTGAAAATCTTTAGAATATAAAACTTTTATGAAGTTATTATGTAATTTTAAAGAACTAATTAATTTTATTAAAGATTTGAAGATGAACCAGTTTCCTTTTTAGTTTTTAACAAAACTAAGTATTCTTTTAAAATATTAATTGCAGTCTAAGATTTAAGTTTTTCTCGTTTATTTGATAAAAATTTTTTTGTAGAAAAATAATGAGATCAATTTAATTATCATTGTTAAACTTGAATAAATAATCATTAAATTTTTAATTTGAAAAGAAAATTTAGCATATTCTTAAATATTTATTCTATACAGGATTAAATGAACTTTTTTCAATTAATTTTATTAATATAGAAAGGAATTATTTTAAATTACAGAAAAGCTTGAAAATGAATTCATAATACTATTATAACTAATAATTTAATTTTTATTCATAGATTACTAAAAAGAACAATTTTGGTATTTTATAAGTCATAAAGATGTATATATATATGAATAGCTAAAACATAAAAATTTTGGAAATTATTAGATTCAAAAAATAGCTATGAAGATAGTATAAGACAATTTGTAATTTTGAAATTGCAAATTGAAGAAACAAATAGATCTAGAATGATTAGGAAGGTTAAATAAAAAAGCGCTCTAAAAATATTGGCTCGTACAACTATAAAGTTTTCTTAATATTTCTAAGAGTCTGGTACATAAATCGAATAATTTTATAATAATTATAACCTATGCTTCTTTTTAAAACTAAATAATTTATTAATTTCAAATTGAAAGTTATAAATTCTTAATTTATATTTTTTCAAATGAATTAAAACAAATATAACGTAAAATAAACTTATATTTTTTTAATTTATTCCACCTTTATTTATGTTTCTCATTGCTTCTTAAATTTTATTTTTCTATGAAGTTTTGCTTTTGTCTATGAAATGATTCTTTTCTTTAAATTGTTTATTTCTTAACGGTTACTTTTCTTAAAATTTATTTCTTAAATATCATGAAAAATCAAAAGTAAGATAGTCAAATTACTTAATTTTTTTAGCTAAGGGTCTCCTTTTCTATTAGATAAAATTCTAGAAAATTATTAATCTAAATTTTAGAACATTTAATAAGATTCCCTATTTTTCAAATGTTTTTTAAATAAAAATTTAAAAAATCATTTTTATTTAGAATTATACTGAAGACCTTATTCAAATAATTTTTTTGATTTATATGAACTTATACTTATAAAATAATGGTTATATTAATATAAATGATTATTAGATGAACTTTAATTATAACAGATATAATAAATATTTATCTGATAAATTTGATCATAAATAGAAAATTTACTTTTCAATAATTTTCACTCTATTTTGGTCAGTTTAAAAAAAATTTCAATTACTTAATTATGGAAATAGAAATAAATAATATGGGCTATTTTTTAAATATTCTTACTGATTTGATATTAAATCATTCAGAATATATTTTTCTGACATTCTAATTCTATTTATTATTATAAATTGTTGTTAAATTCATACACTTTGTAAATTAATTCTTATGAAATAAATTAATTTACAGACTTAAGTTTTTTTCATTACTATCTATAATTTTTATTTATTTTCATTAAGACAGGCTCAAAGCACTATTTATTGTCTAGAATTAAGAGTATTTTTTAAAAATTCATTATCCCATGATTGTGTTAATTTCTTTAAGGCTATATCTTACTTGTAAGCATCAAATAAATAAATAATAAATATGCGTCTGAACTTAATTAAAAATAAAATTTAGCCAATAATTTAATTCCTTTTCAAGCTTATTAGGGCAATTTTTATAAATTTTTATAAATATATATAATCTTCATGGTTTCCTGAATTATTTGCTTATGTTTTATTATTATTATTGTATTTCAAAAGAACTTTTTTTCTAAAATTGTCTTGCGCATTTGCAATTAAATTTATTCTTTTATATTGATAAAGAAACCACTATCCTATTATATATAAAATATTAAGGCAGAATTATGACTCACTCATTTCATAATAGATGGAATTAGTATTAGTCAAATCTTTAGTTTATAATCTATTCATATTTAGAATTAATGCCAACCAAACTTCTGTTATTAGATTATCGTATATGATTTTCTTAAATAAGCAAACTGAAAATAATGCCACATACGCGTGTATTACTATCAAATATTTAATTTCCAAATAATAATACCTAAAACAGAAAACGTATAAAAAAGGATCATATTTTTTATCTAGCAATTTTACCCTATTTCTCTTTCTCTGAATTCTCTAAATAATATTTAAATAATGAATCTATTTTATCCTCTTTTGTATAGCTATATAGATAATTAAACATATAGATAAATTTAATCAAATAGAAAATATTATCTTTTAATTTTTGAAGAAGCTTCCTAAGAATTGCAATATTTATTAAAATTAATTATAATGATTGTAAACCCATTCCATTGACTACTCAAAGGTCTAAATACCATAACCATTTTATAATTAGTCATAATTTGGCACTGATTGTTTATGTTAATTCTAAATCCATCCAAGAACAAATTCCTGGAACTAATCAATTCGAAAATTTTTATTATACTTTATCATGTCTTTAAATTCCTAATGTCAATAAGCATCTTTAAAATTTTGCTTAATTCCTATATCAAATAATCTACTATTCCCATTTTTAAATACTGGGTAGATCTGCAATTCATGAATAAAATTTAAAAAAATCTCTTTTATGTATTCCAAATCCTTTCCAAATCTTATTTGCTAAAAGCAAGTTCAATTTAACCTCCTAATGACATTAAATAACTATAAATAATTTCAATTTTTCATAATGCAACAATTTATTCAACATTCTTCAAGTATCAAGCCATGCAAAAAATTTATTTGATTTCAAATTAGCTGATGCAAAAATTACAATCAAATCAAAATTTTTACAATAATTTTTCTTTATCTAAACATTAAAAAATAAGATAATTTTTTTGGATTCATGGTCTTGAATTTAAAATCAAACTAATAAATATTCAATAATAAAAAAATGAAAAGCATTATCGAATAAAAGGAAGATGGTTTTTAACAGATTTTAACTTAAGTAAATGATGCTGATGAATAAATATTCAAAGAGTTAATTAAAATGTTTATTCAAGAAAAAATTTCAGATAGTCTAGATTATCTTTAAAAAGTTGAAAATCAAAAGAATTAAAAAAAATAAATTCCATAAATAGGAGACTAATCATTAGTAGATAAGGAATTCAAGTGGAATGCTGGAATAAATAACATAAAGATAGTTTATAATATTTTAAAATAAATTAAAGATCATGACTTTAATACAAATAATTATTCATCTGAAATATACTAAGAAATTAAGAAAAAATTAATGATTGAAATTGCTAAAAATAAAAAGAATATCTAATTTTTACAATTTTTAGTTCATCTTACAGCTATTGATAACGAATTCATAGTATGTGGATCAAATTCTCTAAATATTTTAATTGATATGAAGGTGGATCTGACTTAATAATAGTTTGAAAACATTAAGATTAAAAATACATCTTTGGTGAGGGCTAACTTTGTCGGGTGTAATTTTAGTGGATCAAAATTTGATAATGTAGATATAAGCGGTATGAACT